GGGGGGGGGAGGGTAATCACCCCCACCCTGAAATCAGAGGTCTTGAATAACCATTTCTTAAACTTTCGTAGGAGCGTGCAGTCTCCTAAGATTAAATAGCCCTGGATTTGGCATGCTGTAAATATCATGTCAACTGTTCCCCATTCTGAATGGAGTCCACAATGGCTTTCAATCAACATGTTTTAAATTATTGATGCCTCATAATCTTGAGTTCAATTGTACCCCAAAAATTGGTAAATTGCTTTTTTTTTTATTTTTTTTTTGTTTGTATTTTTTTTTTATCCATAGTTCGGGCGTTTTATAGGATTGCACTGAAACATGGTGAATGAATATAAAGTTTTACAAGCTGACAATTCGTTGACTTGTTACTAGTGGCTCGGCAGCTAGCGAAACCGCACGTCTTTTGNTTTTGTTTACCGGATACGGTACATTTTCTTTTTATTTTGGCCCCTCTTCTGCTTCAATGCTTTCACAAGAGGTGGACAATGAGATTACCTAATTAAGCCCCCCCCCCCCTTTTTAAATGACTAAGATCGCTTCTCGGCCCTTTGGCTAAGATCAGGATGTAGTGTCTGTTCTTACCCCTCCGGGTTACCAAACCTGGTGGAATGAACATGATTACCCGCTTGATTTTCAGCTTGGGTCGGGACGATCGGTAAGAAAAGAACAAAGGAGAGCCCCACTAGTCTGATTGCTTCTCGGCCCATTGGCTAAGATCAGGATGTAGTGTCTGTTCTTACCCCTCCGGGTTACCAAACCTGGTTGAATGAACATGATTACCCGCTTGATTTTCAGCTTGGGTCGGGACGATCAGTAAGAAAAGAACAAAGGAGAGCCCCACTAGTCTGATTGCTTCTCGGCCCGTTGGCTAAGATCAGGATGTAGTGTCTGTTCTTACCCCTCCGGGTTACTAAACCTGTTGGAATGAACATGATTACCCGCTTGATTTTCAGCTTGGGTCGGGACGATCGGTAAGAAAAGAACAAAGGAGAGCCCCACTAGTCTGATTTGCTTCTCGGCCCGTTGGCTAAGATCAAGATGTAGTGTCTGTTCTTACCCCTCTGGGTTACCAAACCTGGTGGAATGAACATGATTACCCGCTTGATTTTCAGCTTGGGTCGGGACGATCGGTAAGAAAAGAACAAAGGAGAGCCCCACTAGTCTGATTGCTTCTCGGCCCGTTGGCTAAGATCAGGATGTAGTGTCTGTTCTTACCCCTCCGGGTTACCAAACCTGGTGGAATGAACATGATTACCCGCTTGATTTTCAGCTTGGGTCGGGACGATCGATAAGAAAAGAACAAATGAGAGCCCCACTAGTCTGATTGCTTCTCGGCCCGTTGGCTAAGATCAGGATGTAGTGTCTGTTCTTACCCCTCCGGGTTACCAAACCTGGTGGAATGAACATGATTACCCGCTTGATTTTCAGCTTGAGTCGGGACGATGGGTAAGACAAGAACAAAGGAGAGCCCCACTAGTCTGATTGCTTCTCGGCCTGTTGGCTAAGATCAGGATGTAGTGTCTGTTCTTACCCCTCCGGGTTACCAAACCTGGTGGAATGAACATGATTACCCGCTTGATTTTCAGCTTGGGTCGGGACGATTTGTAAGAAAAGAACAAATGAGAGATCCGTTGAGGCAGACTGAAAAGGAACTAAACAGCTCCAACCCCCACCCTGTATTACAGTACTTCTGGGGGAACCCTCACACAAAAAAAAAAGGCGGCCAACCTTTTTTTCCAAAAAAGCTACAGCAGTGGCCAAGGTGAGTGAAAAGTAAAATTTGCCACACTAAATAATATAAATCATGAAATACTTCTATTAATTAAATCAAGAACTAAGTTTAATCAAATTTTAAACAAGCTTCCATTCAAAATATGATATTCCTTTTTTTTCATTAACAAGCTGCCAAAATATTGGCAATTGTTGGTTCAATTCTCGTGCTCAAAGTCCCCCTTATCTCATTCTCCACCTGTAATTTTACATCAACGATTCTGTAACAACAGTATCTGTATTTGACTTGTTGAATCCTACAGCAGATCTATCGTGTTGCTTTAGGAGGCCTCATTAAATTTTTTAGTTCTCTACCCCTGTAGTCACAATAGTCAATAGTGTTGTGAAAGCAAAAGGTGATAGTTAAATATTTTACCACATCACAATTTTGCCATCATTGTTGTGCCCCTTATTCTCATACACAGAGCCAAGGTGTTCAAAACATTGAAAATAATTTTGAAATTCCCAGTTTCAATATTTTAAGATACTTCAGAATAGTTTTCCACATTTTTTAAATTCCATCTGCTTTAACTTCCATAAGCCAGTCCAGTAGCTGAAGACTAGTGTAAGCAAATTCTCTGACTATTTTTTTTTTCAACAGAAATGTAGGGATGAAATTTCATTATAAAGAAGCAATCAATATACAAGGCTTTAATCAACATTAAAATTTTATAAATATGCACACATATACCATAGCATTTGTCAGACTGGATGCTTATTATATTATTAAATACAATAAAATTTTGATAAACTTTGATAAAGAATAATTTTCAATTGTACATCCAATATTTACTTTCAACAAAATTATATTGTCCAAAGCAAAATTATATTGGTCCAAACCAAATTCGCCACATTTAAAAAGTTCCATTCACCATTTGTGCTGGTTGTCAACCTAGGGCTTTCAACATATTTCACATGAGAAGGCAGTAAAAAAAAAAAAAAAAAAAAGCTTTGCGAACATGAATTTTACATTTGAATCAACATAAAAACACAATGGGAGAAATTAATTAAACCCAGAAGACTGTGTGAGTATCATTTTTGAGTATCTAAATTGCTCTGACATTAAAAAAAATAGCAATTTTGAAGTTACACTTCTCACAAACCTGAATTGATTATGTCTTCAAACTAATCTTTTTGCTCCATAATTAGGATTTTATTCATTTATTAAATGCTTTTATTTTTTAATTTTCATATTATATTTTTTATAATTAGCCTATATTCTCTGTATTAGGCTTAACCTTTTGAATTTTAATTGTCTAAGATTTTCTCCCATTGAAAACATGGTAATATTTCTGTTGAGAAACATATTTTGGGGTAATAGCAAAAAATCTCCCCTCCCTTGGTTTACAAAACACAGCAGAGGTCCTAGGACTCCAAACTGTTTGATATGGATCAGACAAACTGATTTCTATAATTTACCCATTATTTTTAAGGGTTTCATCATTCAAATTCTGGTACTATAACAAACATTTAACAAATTGTACTAGAACTAAAAAAAAATAAGAGTAATACATTGAGCCATTCTTTCATTTAAGGAACTGGTGGCCGATAGGCATTTCTCTTTATTTTTAACACTTAAACATCCAGATGACAGCAAGTAATCACTAACTCATTAATTTAGTTCAAATTCTTTAATGAATAAACGGAGGTAAAACATTTATTTTTATTTATGAAGGCCTTTGTTTTCTATTAATACTAATTTTAAAAAATGGGTAGAATCATATTAATTCATTTATTGAGCATAATGTAAAATATATGCGTACAATTATAGGGCCTACTAATAAAAACTATGTACAATTAGACTAATATGAAAACTGTACATAAAATTAGACTAATATGAAAACTACATACAATTAGACTTAAAAAAACTATGTACAATTAGACTAGTATAAAAACTGTACGTACAATGAGACTAATTATAAAACTCTACCTACAATTAGACTTATATAAAAACTGTAAGTGCAATTAGACTAATTTAAATTGTAGGTACAGTTCTAGGAAAAAATTCACAACTGTGATTTTAAATTTATATTTATAAAATGGATGCTTCTCCTGGGTTCTAACTTGTGGAAGTTGTATTTCTCATTTTTTGTTTTTCAACTCATAAGACATTTAACTGAATTGTTGCCTGAGGAAGCTAAAGCAACCTATTTGTTATTGTAGTATATATGGTTCCAGCTGTCACATTGAGCTTGTCATCATGTCATCCCGTGTCATCAAAAGAAAGTATCTATTGAATTCTGCCTTTTGTTGGCTGTCGCTCAAATTGATGGCTTGTTTTTGTTCTACTTTGCTCCTTTTGTTCCACCCAACATTTCTGTTTAACTGGGTCGGAAGAAAAGATTAAACTTAAATGCACTGAATTTTTAGTTCCACCATCTCATAATAATGAGTAGTAATTGATGGTCAAATAAAATTATGCCTAAGAAGATTGAGGCACATGTGAGTAAGCACTATTACAAGGGGAGGGGAGGGGAGGGGGGCTTGTTTGCAATCAAAATACAAGTTGTCCGGAAATCCACTCAACTGCTTGTGTACATTAAAACAAATCAATATACAAGATATGGTCCTCAGAAGTTTTTCTTAATGATGAGAAAAGGTCTTTGGCAGGCTCACAAGGCACTGACTGCACAGACTTGGGTGACTGATGGGTATATTTGAACTAAAATTCATGACACATTAACTTCATTCAACACAACAGTTATTATTTTATTTTATGTTGGTAATATGAAAATGATAACAAGTAAGAATTTTTAGCATTCAATACAATACTGAAGCAGAAGGCACAAGAACAAAATTAACAAATAAAGGTGTGTAAACGAACATATTTATTACAATTCCTAGCAATAGCACACATTTTTCATCAGTTTACTTTAAAAGATTTTACAGGTTTTGCTTTGATTTTCAAAGTCCTAAAAAAGTTTAGCAATGTGGGATTCTAGAAAATGTATTAGAAAAATGTTCTAGTTTGTTCACTAAGATTGAGACTGTTTTCATAAAATATTTTCTTAACCTTCTTTAAAAACAAGATATTTACACAAACCTCCAGAGCCCATCTTCGGCATAGATCTTAAAATAGCCAGTTTTATTTCAACAAGTTTTTTCTTTATCAGACTGTTAATATCTCTCACAAAAACTGTTTATGACTTGATCACTTGTATTAAGATTTCACTAAATATTTAATGATGTCAATCTACAGCCCTCATCGTTGTTGGTTTATCTTGCAGGTCCGAGACAAGACTAAACTCTCACTGGAGAGATTAAAGATGGTGGAGAGAGGCTCCCTTGTGTTGGAGAATGAACAGCAAAGACAGCGGTACGAGAAATGTCTTGATGAGATAGCCATTCAGGTGGTGCAGTCCTTGTTGGCTCACAAGGTAAATATTTAAAAAATGGTTGTTTCTTAACGTCATGTGTAGCTCTACTTGTCGGTTAAATACATTTAATAAAATGATCTATTTATTGCTCATAATTATAATATCAACCTATTATTTTTCATTAAATGCTATTCAATTTCAGTTTTTTTTTGTTTAATTTTCTTTTTCTATTCAAGATATTATTGACATTTCATGACTACAGACAAAAGGAAATTGAATTAACCCATTCTTGCCTAATTTTCCCTCCTGCATAAAAGCAATTTGAAATGTAAAATAATCTTTTAAATTTTTATTAAATATAAAAATGAATGAATGAATTGTTATAATCTAGATAAGAAAATAAGGCTACTAAGAGAATAACCTTTTAATTATAACATCTGAAGTTGACTATCACATATTGGACACAAATCTGCAAGCTGTGTGGGCATTTTTGAGGAATTTTATTTCTCAAGCCATTGAATGAGTGTTGCACATCTGCTTGAGCTTCTTCTTTACATATATGGAGAGGGTTGCATTTGCCAAGTTTTTTTTATATCTCTCTTGATTTAATTTGACACATTTAAAAAGTTTGGGGAAATTAATTGGTAATTTTTGGGAGCATTTTAAGACATATTTAAACTTATTATTTGTGGGTTATGTATGAAGACTTTGTTCATTGGACATATTTCATTTATGATAATTTGATTCATTTCAAAAATATTTTTAGTAACTAAAAACAAAAAAGTATAAGTCAGTGACCTCTTTGGCCAAATCATTAACTCATCTTCATGGGGGAAACTCTTATCTCTTTGGCCAGATCATTAACTCAACTTTATGGGGGAAACTCCTATCTCTTTGGCCAGATCATTAACTCAACTTTATGGGGTAAACCCCTATCTCTTTGGCCAGATCATTAACTCAACTTTATGGGGGAAACCCCTATCTCTTTGGCCAGATCATTAACTCAACTTTATGGGGGAAACCCCTATCTCTTTGGCCAGATCATTAACTCAACTTTATGGGGTAAACCCCTATCTCTTTGGCCAGATCATTAACTCAACTTTATGGGGGAAACCCCTATCTCTTTGGCCAGATCATTAACTCAACTTTATGGGGGAAACCCCTATCTCTTTGGCCAGATCATTAACTCAACTTTATGGGGGAAACCCCTATCTCTTTGGCCAAATCATTAACTCAACTTTATTTTGGAGGAAGCACACCACCCAAACTGCCTATGAGCACAGTCAAATATTTTAGCAGCTTTTCAAATATATAATATTCTTGTCAAAAATATGTTTTTTAAGTATCATCATTTATTTTCTTCTAACAGTTAATACAAGAGGAACCTATGCTTACAAGTCAAGCCTATATGTAAAGATATCTTACAAGTGAACTCTTGTCTGAAGTGGAATTTTGTCAGAACTAGACTCTAGTCTTGATCATGGACAAGAATGTACCATGTTAGTTCATTTTAAATTTTTAACATATTTAAAGAGAAAATTTTATATATATATTTTATGGTTTATTTTAAACCTTTATTAATATCCTGAAATAGAATTCCATCATAGTAAAATAAATAATCAAAATTAAGTTATAAACAGACTAAAAACATGTTACCTTACTGCATATTCTGATCTAAAAATGTAATTTTTTATTTTTAATCCTGCAGGATGTCTAAATCAGAAAGATCAAGATCATTGGAGGGACTCATTGGATTCTGAGGGACAAAGTACATTTTGGAGTCAAGATTAGGAGCTCATTGAAATCAAATAATTGCATTCATTACATTTGAAAGTGATATTTATATTTCAGCATGATTACGACACAAATTCAGTTTGTTCTCAACATGTGGTTCTGGAACACTAGGGGGGAATATAACAAAAAACCAGAAATTTGAGTGGTTTTTAAAAAATGTTCATCTTTATCTTATATTTATATGTAACACCTTTAATTAAAAAATTTGTAAACGATTGTGGGCTGCAACGACTTTGCTAATGCTATCAAGGGGTCACTGCAATGTTGAGAACCATCAGCAATAATTATTAATGTAATAAGTAACTGTCTGGAATGTTTTAAACATTTTTATCCTCATTTGTATATCACATGACTTTTCATAGCTGCCAAATCAGTATACATTCTATACAATCTAATCCCCTCTGCCAGTCTAATAAGGTGGCTCTTTATGACTTGAATGACAATCATTTACTGGTCAAGGAATGCTACTTTTATCAATTGACTGCCTCTTAGGAAGCCTTGTAAAGAGTCGGCTTTCTTATCTATAGCTACCTCTGTTTTATATTGTACCAGCTCTTTTTGTTCTGTATTCCATGTTCTGTCCATCTTAGCGCTGTCCTGGGAAGTGAGCGTTTGTTCAGTGATTGCGTTCGACGCTTGTGTCTTTTTTTTATCATGACCTGTTTTTGATCTAATGTCCTGTATGGTCATAAAAAAGTTTCCTGTACTTACAAACTGTGTTTGAAATATTAAATAAAATCAAAAGTCAGATTTAAAATAAATTGAAGCAATGGATTAGGTGTGTGTGGGTACATTATAATTATATGTTCACATTTTTCACTCCATTTTAACACACCTGTTTGTGAATTTAACTTAACACTTGTTTGGTTTACATGAAAAAAATGGGGGTTGAATGTTTTTATTCATACAAATACTTTTGAAATGACAAATATTTTCCACAGTTTTCTATTATTTGTTAAAGATATTTTGCCCTTCATTAGGCTAGAGTGAAGAACGTTAATTGCAACATCAAATTTAATTTTCTGATGTTATATGTGTGGAAAATTTTGTTTTTAGGATATTTTAGGTTCAGAAAAAAATAGTTTATATATATATAAAAAAAAAAAAATTTCAATGTGCAGAAAAAAGTGAATACAATGCAAACTTCCTCCTTTTCTCTTTAATGACTTCTATTCAATACATTTTTATGTATACATTTCTAAGTTGATTGAAATTCCAAAATATAGATTTTTAACATTTTAAATTTTTCTATTAACACTTTGTATTAGATAAATGTTCATCTCAGATACATATGGCTATTAAAATTGCATGTGTATGTACCAAGTTACTATTTTTGATTTTATGTGATTTATGCCATTTAACATGCTATGTGACTTATTCCATTTAAGATGGTATGTGATTTATTCCATTTAACATTTTATGTGAGCTTTATTCCATTTAAAATGCTATGTGACTTATTCCATTTAAGATGGTATGTGATTTATTCCATTTAACATGTTATGAGATTTATTCCATTTACATGTTATGTGATTTATTCCATTTACATGTTATGTGACTTATTTCATTTACCTGTAATGTGATTTATTCCATTTAACATGTTATGTGATTTATTCCATTTACATGTTATGTGACTTATTTCATTTACCTGTAATGTGATTTATTCCATTTAACATGTTATGTGATTTATTCCATTTACATGTTATGTGACTTATTTCATTTACCTGTAATGTGATTTATTCCATTTAACATGTTATGTGATTTATTCCATTTACATGTTATGTGACTTATTTCATTTACCTGTAATGTGATTTATTCCATTTAACATGTTATGTGATTTATTCCATTTACATGTTATGTGACTTATTTCATTTACCTGTAATGTGATTTATTCCATTTAACATGTTATGTGATTTATTCCATTTACATGTTATGTGACTTATTTCATTTACCTGTAATGTGATTTATTCCATTTAACATGTTATGTGATTTATTCCATTTACATGTTATGTGACTTATTTCATTTACCTGTAATGTGATTTATTCCATTTAACATGTTATGTGATTTATTCCATTTACATGTTATGTGACTTATTTCATTTACCTGTAATGTGATTTATTCCATTTAACATGTTATGTGATTTATTCCATTTACATGTTATGTGACTTATTTCATTTACCTGTAATGTGATTTATTCCAGTTAACATACAGGTGTGTAACTTCGTAAAGTGTAACTGTACAAAAAAAAATGTTTTCTTTTTTTTTATTGTGACCAGTTGTGGAAAAGCAAACCATATTTTTAAAGTGGCCACCATCAATGCATCACTAGTGCATGCTCATTATGTCTTGCACATATTCTGTGTTTATTTCATTCCCTGCTTGGTCACACTCCATTTTCTTTGTGTTGTGTTCGCTTTCTCATCTCATGGAGGCTTATTTATTTGATAATGTGTTTTTGGTTTGACAGCCTCTTTCTTCCAGCAGCCATTGACTAAGACAACCATGATTTTTCCAGCAGGCATTACATTGGACTTAGGGGTTTGTGTTCAATTATGATTATTTGAGACAAATGCAGGGTAAGCTTGTCTAATAACTGTACAAGGGAAATAATGGGGTTACTGCTTTACAATTGTAAAATGGAACATAATAAAGCTTATTTTAAAAGATATAAATTTGCTTTGTTCTTATTGGACCCATGTTGTGTTTGTTGGGGTTTGGGTTGCTTCCCTTTGTTCGGTTGTCTCCCCTTTTTTGATCATTTATTTGTTCTTAACTCATCTCCCCTTTTTCGATCATTTATTTGTTCTTAGTTGAGATTTCTTCAGTTTCTTCTTCTTATCGGGGGTCTTCTTTCCCCCGAGTCGCATTTGTGAGATTTATTGAAGTGTGATGGTAATCGGGCCTGGTTTTTTTTGGATCTTGTTTCTGCCCTTATTTTTCCATCCACCCCGACCACCATCCCCGAAAATTTTTAACTTATCTTAAAAAGGTGGACAATTGGGACAGGTGTTTCAAAATTTACATATACAAATTTCAAGTGCTAATATAAAAGAAACAACAACATATTTATATCGTATTATATGTATATGTCGTTTGAAACATATATCTAATCATTATAATATAATCACAATATGTTAATTACATATGCCTCTCTAAATGATAATCAATATAAACTTAATTAAATATACGGTAGTGTTATCTTTCTTTTTCCATGCCTTTTTTATTTCCCCTGATTTTCAGCATCACAAAGTTGTAGTGTTTTGATATTGAATAGCGTCAT